GATCAAAGGTAAATTACCCAAGTAGCCTTCAAGCGGTGACGTCAAAAACTGATGATACGATTCTCTATGCCGTTTAAATACCTGCCCACATATTAATGCTAAATCGAACTGGCGGTCAAATTTCTCAAAATTGCCTATCGTTGTAAATCCTCTAGATATGTTCATTGTTTCGATTGAATATTCCACAATTTGTAAAAATCCAAATCACATTTTCTAGAACAGCTGGAAAATCGGTTCTCATTTGTAGCCAATTACAAAATTGTAATCGCCTTTAGGGATGTAATTTTTTTGAGATTCGAATTTTGTAGCATTTGAAACCACTTTTTTTTAGGTGTCTCCAAATACTCATATGAGAAGAGCACCCACACCAGAGTAAACTTGGAAAGAAAGAATTTCACGTTAATCTTAACTTATTAACTAAATTTTCTTTATTTTCCTCATCCATTACGTCTCCATATTTTTGTCCTAATTTTTCAAACGAAGCAAACTCAGGAGATATCTATTCAATAATTTAAATAAAGTCCGATGAGGTTGTATCGTCTTTCGGGATACATGTTCAAATACATTTCTGATGTCTTGACACCGTTTCTATCTTTTTTATAATTTTCCGATTTCCAATTTTGTTTCATTGGTAAAGTGAATTTTTAACGACCCAGTAATGCGCTAGATATTAAAATGTCATCGACAGATTTGAAAATTCATACTTTTACTATAGTATGAAAGTTTTTGTTCAATATTTCGATTTTGAGAGAACACAAATAAAACCTGGGACGCGTAAATAAAAAGGTAGCAATACTATCCAACACTGCAAAAATGCAATATGACGACCATAAGAAAAGATGATTTGGTTTGAGAAAAACGAAACGTCGTAATGGATTTTTGACCTGGCCATAAGGTGAAACCTCAAAAGTTCCAATGAGAATGTATTTGCAGATTTTTGCTAAGTTTTAAAATAAAAACATAACAAAACAAAACCGAAAGGCGGAAGTTTCAGATTTTCCGCCATATTTCCGGAAGTAACAAACAAAATATTCAAGTAACTAACTTACAAGTCTTACCGTTACCCAGATCCTAATACTGACTGTCAGAAGAAAACTGACTACGCCATTGGATCCTACGTAAAAAGCTGTTTTTTAGACTCGTTAGGAGCTATCAGTGGTGGTTTTAAAACCACCCTTTGTACTCAAAATCCAAGGTAGGGTGGCATTTTTGTTTGGGTCACTTTTCATTTCATAAAAAAGTAGGCTTCGGTGACAAAATGTCAATACGTTAGCCATTATTAAGGGAGATATACTTACAGGGTTTTTCATTATATTTTAACACGCACCTGCAGAGTTAATTTTGAAAGATAGAAGAAAAAGTGTAAATACGAAAGTTTCAAGATTTTTGCTCTATTATCTTCTGCAAATGTCAGAAAAAACAAACGACTATCGCAAGTTGTCAAAATGACAGCAACATCATTTTTTAAATGAAATGCCCTATATATTATTATCTTAAATTCTTTTTCTCCTTATTGTAAAAAAATATAGTATATTGACATATTATTTAGCCGTTTTTGAAATATTTCAGTTTAAAAATAATTATCAGTCGATTTCTGGACAATAGCCATATTCGATCGACAAGTCTGCCTTGATAGCAACCATATTATCTAAATTTGCAATTGTTTTAATAATGTTCTACTTTTGACAACTAATCAAAACTCTTTAGTTCGGCAGCGTAAGTTAAATAACTTGAGATATTTCAAATAGGTTATACTGAGGAAGAAAAACATCAAATAATAAAATTATATTATTCAGACGGACATAATGTTGCAAGGGTTAAAAGAAAATATCGACAAATATATCCGGGTAGAAGAGTTCCTTCAACAAATACAATTAAAAATGTAATTAAACAATTGGAGGAGCGAAATAGTGTCACACGGAAGACCAGGACAATAGAAAGAAATTTTGATGAAGACCTCAATATATTACTTTACTTTTAATGTAAATTATTACAGTATTACGACACTTGACATCATAACTTTGAGTTCTACTTTCTTAATTTTTATATTTCATATTTTTTGAACATAAAAGGCAGAGAGAGGCTCGTATTTTTCAATGAAATGTATAGAAGATCTCAAGAAGATGGAAATTTTCTAGACAAAATATTTAATAGCAAAAATAAACATTTTTGGTCAAACAAAATACAGGCCGTGAAAATCCAAGGACGGACGTCAGTTAATGTATGGTGTGGTGTGTTGAAAACGATATTTAAATTTCCTTGCAACAGAAGTAGAAAATATGACGGTTATTATTGGAATTATTTCAATTTAATTTGGCATCAAGATGGCGTACCTATAATAGGCGTGAAATTTTACAAATGATAAGAGAAAGACTTTATATCGTACTACAAGACCTAAACAGAGAAAACCGTGATTTTATCAAGTCGTGTATTAATATGAAATGTATAGAAAATATTGGAGATTATGTGGAAAATGTTTAACATTAATTATTGATATTTTTATTGCTTGAATAATACAATTTTATTATTTGGCATTTTTCTTCCTCAGTATGTAACCAATTTGAAATATCTTAAGTTATTTAAGTTACGCTGCAGATCTTTATTTCTGATTAGTTGTCAAAAGTAGAACATTCTTAAAACAATTGCAAATATAGATAATGTGGTTGCAATCAAGGCAGACTTCGCGATTTTTTTATTTATTTATTATTTTCAGTATTTTTAAACTGAAATATCTCAAAAACAGCAAAATGAATAGAACTATATGTCTTTGATATCAGAAAAAAAAGATCTACAATTTACGTTAATAATATATAGGGCACTCTATTAAAAAAAAATGACGTTGCTGTCATTTTGACAGCTTGCGATCGTCGTTTGTCTTTTCCGACATTTGCATAAGATAATAGAGCAAAAATCTTTAAACTTTTGTATTTACACTTTTTTTTTTCGTTCAAAATTAACCCTGTAGGTGGATGTCAAAATATAATGAATAACCCAGTACGCAGGGTTTCAGTTTCCGGGAAGAGATAATTTCGACGCCAAAAGGACAATAAACGACGCATTAGGATTTTTCTATTATGTTCGACCCACTCGAGGGAGGGGCGAACCCCCGGACCCACGCATCTCCTGACCCCCACTCCTTCGCCACTTATTTTTCGATTTCGTTCGCTTTGACGTCGATCGTTTTCATGTCGTCGTTGGCCATTAAAATTGAACCTTTGAACTGCCGCTTCCCGTAGATTCCCAGATAAAACGAGGAACAAAAAGGGACGCGGCGGAGAGTATAGTCCCCCCGATGAAAGGAGGTCGTTTCGCGGGTCGAAACGACCGCGGGTGACGTAAACGCCGATTAACGCGCCCGCGTATCTAAATTACTATCGGGAGTCGCGTCTGAATTTTTCATTTTCAATTTGGCGCCCGGACGCGGGCCAATTTTAATGACGCGTCATTTGACAAAAAAAAAAGAAGCTGCGCTCCGCTATAATACGGATTCTATCAAATAGAATACGCCATTTATATAGAAATATTCATGTATTACGTATAAATATTCATATATTCATACATAACGTATAAATATTCATATAGAACGTATAAATATTCATATATTCATACATAACGTATAAATATTCATATATAATGTATAAATGTTCATGTATAACGTGTAAATATTCATATATAACGTATAAATATTTATATACAACGTATAAATATTCACAAGTCTTGTACAATACAAGATTTATTTAACTATTGATAGCATTTTGCCGCATTCCCGTCATCCCTAGCCAAACCTCTTTATCCAAGACATCCTCTTCCTGTAGATTTCGTTAATTCATTAATCTTCTGGTCGTTTCATTCCACGATCTTCTTTCTTCTGCTTTCATTCGAGCTCTTACTTCCTCATTGGTTTTTCGTTCTAATCGGGATATTCTTGCACTTCGTCTGATATAACCCATTTCTATAGCTAACTGATCACCTTTGCTTTCCCCACTCGTTTTTTGTTGTTATTTGAGATATTTTTATGCCACCAGAATGAGTTAAGGCCTCCTACGATGTTCCTACTTTCTTATATTTTCTGTTTCTCTTACCCCCTTTTTATCCACAAGTGCTCCTAGATATTTAAATTTCTCCACTTGCTTAATACCTACATCATATATAACTGGAACGAGCATCACCGTTCGCTACCAAGTATTGTATTTTCTCATAACTCACTACCCCCACTTTTTATATTCATCGTAAATCATCATCATCGAGATCATCAAATAAAATTACACGACCGCTAAGTTTAAAAAATATTTGAAATATTTTGTTACTAAACGAGTCCTATTCCCTCCCATGAGACCACGTCATTCCCAAAATCGAGTTTTTAAGGCAGCAAGGGGCCAAATAAAACGGGGAGTGTCCAATCTAAGCGGACAGTCCCGATCGCCCCCGTCCGTCGGGCAAAAGTAAAGCAACTCTCGCAGCTAAACCTCTTATCAAAGTTTCCCATAACGACACATAAATCTTGTCGGGGCAAAAACCGCGTCCTCGGACGGTCGACAAAATAAAAAGATGAATTCCCGCGGTATGCGCGCGTATGTGTCGAGACGATAAAGTTTACGGATCCAATTTACGATGTCCTGCCAGCTTTTCAAGGAAAACGATCAATCGACAAATTGGGTTTGTGGAACGCCCGATGGATAAATATCTACCCAAAATCAACAAATATTTCATGCATATATATAATTTTCTATTGCTCACAGCTTTAAGTTCAAGTTTTTGCCAAACACTCGGTAAGTTATCAAATCACTAATAAATCACCGTAAATGCGAACTTCCGTTTTATATCCTTGGTAAATCAATAATAAATGACTGTAAATCCTTAGACATTCTGAATAAGACGCCATAAACCACCGGCGTTCCTCCAAAATATACGCAATAAACCACCGTTATTTGCCGTTTAAGAATATTATTACGCGATATGTCTCTTTTATCTTCTACAACATGTCTCGTTTTCGTTTCCAGGACGGCGAACGCGGCTACCTGGAAGGCCTCGCCTCCCGCTACGCCGACCTCTTCAGCACCCACTACGGCGACGTGCTGGGTCACCTGGACGACCTACGCAAAGGCGAAGTGGCGGAGACGTCTTCCAAAGAGCTGCTGATGAACGAGGCCCAAAGTTTGGGGTTGTTCTGCCAGGGACTGACCTCGTCGCTGTCGCAACCCATCTACGTGCCCGGAAAGTACTTGGTAAGCGCGTTCGAGCAGTTTCGATTCCGCCCGTAACTCATTGGATCTCGGTCTCGTTTCAGCCATCGAGTTGTCTAAGCCACAAGGAAGAGGATGAGATATACGGGTTCGCGTACGGAGTGTTCAAGCCGCAGCTGGCTATACAACCCCAGCAGCGGTTGGGAGCTCCGCCGCAGCAAACTCAGCCGCTCCTCTCGCAGCAGCAACACAATTATCAAACGTAAGTTCAAGCTTTTTTTATATCTTCGAATATTTCGTCCATTCAGGATTTCGTCCCCCTTTCAACCCCACAAATTCTTCTCTTGTCCACTGCCCTGGGTAAGTGTTCATGCTACGGGAGTCTTTTTACCCATGAACACCTACTATGAAAACGAACAAGTCCATCGGCCCCATAACACGGCCCCTGCTTTTGCAAATTTCATTTAAGAGCGTTTATAAAGCCTTTAGATAATATGAGCTTATCAATCCAACGGTTCAGTATCATCCGAGTTACCCTCGAACACGTGTTCTCGAACTGCAGTATGCTAAAAAACAAAACCATCTTTGGCCGGGTTCTGGTGAAACCCTATTCCTCTGTTATGAATATTTCCTATATTTTTAACTTGTCATTGAACAGTGGCGTTTTTCCTAGTTTTAACATTCATCTTGTTTTACCAAATTCGATACAGAGTCTCCATACATCAACGCAGATTTTATTCTGAATGGCCATGCATGTGTGCGGCGCTGTCGATAAAACTCTTCACCAAATTGACCAGCACAACTCAGAAGACCTCTAGATAGTTTGGATTCTCTAACAAACTTGTTTCACACTTCGGTCCCAGTCATTATATTGAGTTTGAGGGGTTTGGCTCAGATTTGTGTTTGTCTACATCAGGCGTCCCCCAGAGTTCTAATTCAGGGCCATTTATTTTTAATAGGCCTACGCTGAGGACCTCACTGACACTGTCGCTCTCAATATTACTAAATGTAACGTTGTTTCTTACTCTCGATAAACTTCATTTTAATTACTGTATAGCTTGTGTTTAGAGAGGATGGTATTTACCGTCAACGGGGCTTGAGTCTCACTAGGTTTTTGGAGAGTCGCCCTGGACAGTGACTTACAGTCATTATCGTTGCTTCATAAATTCTAATATTGACCTACGATCACAACTATTTTGCTTCATAGGGCCAAGCAAAAAATTTCCCCAATTGCAATGGTATCTCGCATCTCTTCCGACATATTTTTTGACAAACTCATATATCGGCTTGACTTCTTTGGCTTTTGTTTTGGTCTTGGCAATATTAGTTTTAGTTTGATTTAGTTTCGTAATATTTGCTCGTTTAACGGGAATCCTGCATCCGACTGAAATCCTGCCGACATTGGCATCCTCAATGCTCGCGCTCCGAAAACACTTCGAACAATCGAAACCGCATCCACCGATGTGGTAGCTGGTCTCCCTCGTTTATTTGGTGAAGCATATTCAAAAGCTTTTCTCTAACATACCCATAACGTACCAGTTGTCTTGTTTCAATTCGTTCAGTTGTTCTGGTATGTGTAGTAACCTAGATGTGCGACATGACCTTCTGTTGTATTCTGCGTTGTATGTTTTGTACATACTATGTACTATGTTAGATATAATACTACAAAGGACTTTATACTATACTAACTTGGGATCTTCGTCTTCTTTACCTATTGTTAAATATTCTGTTTTGGCCAGGTTCATTTTTATTCCCGCTAGGTTATATTCATCTTGTAGTTTCCTGAATATATATGCAATGCAACTAGTACCTGATCATCAACAAAGAATAATTTTTGTAGTATTTCTTGTATAAAAATTTTAAACAAGGTAGGAGAAAGGCAACATCCCCGTTTAAGATCCTTTGTCACCCGAAATGGTTCTGACAAGGTGTTTTGGATCTTAACTACACTCTGTGGATTCTTGTACGTCTTGTGTAGAGCTCTAATATATCCTTTATTCATGTCCCGTGTCGACAAGCAGTTTCAATTTCCTCTAAGCGAACCCGCCTGTTGGAAATTAAGAGCTGTTTATCACTTTCTACTGCAACAAATGCTTTACGAGTATATTAATTTGGTTGATAACGTATTGTAGATCCATGCAGATAACATTTACATTCAACAAGCATCAAGTTGTCAGTGGCGCGCGTGGTGGCAAACGAGAAGTCGCGCAAATACCACTTGAAGTTTCTGGAGAGTATCGATAGTGGTGGGAAGTAGTGGGGCGGGGGAGGGGATCGACTTTTCGGTTTTCCATCGGCACAATCAGACGTCACGTTCCGCATCTCTCGGCACGTCCCCCGCTGCCGGTGTGTAAACACGAGAATAATTCTCGCTAAAAACCTTCGGCCCCGCGCGCTCTCGTTAGGAATTCCTAATTGTTACTTGGGACAAAGAGCGGAAAGTGGTTATCGGGGGATGGGAGGACGGCCTTTGTCGAATTTCAATCCGGGGACGAAATTGGGTCGGGGGTTTTGTTGAGCGCGCGGAATTTTTGCCGAAACCGGTTGGACCTTATCGGTCGACTTCAGACGACCCGTAATCGAGTTTTGTCTTGTCGCAATTTAAAAATACACGGGGATTCCGGATCAATAGCGAACGATATCGGGGTAAGTCTTCAAAGAATCGGCAACGTTAGGTTTGTGATCTTCCCTTGTCTGATTTTCTATAGAATAAAATTGCCATTCGTGAAATCCACCTAGCAGTCACTGACGCAAAGTCCCGGTTTCAAACTAGTAGGTCATATATACGTCGGATCAAAATTAACCCTTTGCAGTCGGACTATTGTTTTATCTACTTATCTGTCTACTCCGATTTTTTTATATTGGATTTTTAATTTAAAAAAATCGTTTTATAAAAACTATGGGATTTTTTTTTCAATACTTTATTATTATTATAACAATCACACACAATATAAAAAATTACATCCTATAATGTTGTAGTGTATAGTTAGTAGAGCGCCTGGGGCGTTAAAAATTTAAAAACCTCGGATATTGGCTAGAGTGAACGAAATTTAAAAATTCAAAATGAAATGTTTAGCTAATAGTATAAATAAAAAAGCTTACCTATTAAAAAATTGTGATCTTAATTTTTTTTCAAATAGTGAAATTCATATGAGGCAGGAACTTTTTTTTTATTAAAATTAAATGAACAAATATATTTATATAAAGATATTAATTTGAAAAATAAATTAAATGAAGGAAATTTTTTTTTGTTTATTGAATTAACTTATATTTTTGTACATATCAAACATTTTCTTCAACTTCATTTATTTGAATAATAGATGCTATTGAAATAGCTATTATCGCTGCACTGTGCACATGCTGCACTACAATACAAACCACTCTTCCGGCATCCCTTTTGTGCAATTACAAAATAACATTTTCTATAGATTATCCGGAGCTGGCAATTGATTCATTGTTACTGGGATGAACGTGTTATTGAGATGCTTCCACCCCCAATTTTCAATATATACATCATTTCCCAGCCATATTTGGATTTGCACTTACACTCTTTTTAAGTGCTCAAACGCTGCATCAGTTGTAGGAGGCAATGATGATAAAAACAACACTGGCACACACACTTACACACATTTTTGGCAGATATATATTATTATCATAGTCACTACCTTTATTATTAAATTAATTCATACACAATATAAAAAAATTACATGCTATAATGTTTTAGTGTATGGTACCGTTCAAAGCAGTCACCAATGTGTAGTCCAGGCTTACGGGTGCAAGTGTCACAAATATACCCAGTTTCCCGGCCGCTGCCTTGTACTTTACGCTTAGAACATAGCGCACAGACTTTTTTCATTCATTCATTCATCATTTTGGCGTAAAATATGTAATTTACCATTTAGCCGCTCTTGTGTATCTACAGATCATGGTCTGCCAGAAATTTTTGGGCCCCCTGCCGAAAGTTTTTTGTCATCTCGTCAACCAATTCCCGAACAAACTTTAGATGTGTCACTGGTTTTTTGTTTTGGCCCCGTTTTGAAATTTTATATAATAAATATGGATGCATGCATTAGAAATTTCGAGTCCTCAGAAAAATAACTTTCGCCACTATTTTAAAGACCGCAGTATGATAGATATATAGGTATAAATTTGCGATTTATTCTTCTGCAAGTGGCAACCTCATATAGTATCTATCTGTGTAAAAATGATATCCTCTTCATCCTGGGTTATTGTCTAATAATTTTTGACACAGATGTTACACTATCATTGTGCTTACATCTAAATCAGATCTCACTAAATCTTCCGATGACAAGCTTCCTTAGTACGGCAAAATTGAATAAACATATCTGTTTTGTCCGCGCGGAAACGTACTTTGGCCGTAGCTGGCACAGCAAGAAGTCGCAAAAATTACTCAAGACAGGATCAAAAGATTTTTGATTACTTAACTGACCCTACCTCGCTTTTGGTCTTCCTTCCGGAGGGGCCGGCCCGTGCTGCGTCCTCTGTGCCTCGAGTGGTGAGGAAATTTGTTGATCACCACGCGTATGACCTGATGCGTTCAACGGCACTTTTTGAACCACACGATGAGAGCGACCGATTTAGCGCTTCACCGTGATTTTTAGTGGAGCATGCGCCTAAGGGCGCTGGCGGGTATAGATGGCCAGTTAAGTTCAAGAATTTAATACCGCGAGGAAAGGAAGAAGAATAACTTCTTGGTGCTGTACTCGCGGCCAATCGATAAGCTATAGGTTTATATATATAAATTCATAAGAAGTCGAAAGATAATAAAATGAAAACTAAACAATATCCGGTGTAAGCATCCGCCATTACATAAATGCATATCCCCCATTTCGTAGGCTTCTTAGGAATGTAAGTAAAAAAACTAATATTACCCTTAAATCCAACAACACCGATATCTCTCTTGATGGAACAAAATGTTCTTTGAATTGCTTGTCCGAATAATCTAAATAGTGGCTGACTTTCTGAGTTCGGGCCCTAATAGGTGGTTTTCATGCAAGTGGAGCATCCAAAAAATTTGTAAAAATCGTTCTCTCCTAAATATGCTAGTAAAAAATGGCATTTTGGTCTTAGAATATTGTGTTGGAAGTTAGAAAAGATTATCTTACCCATATTTAAGACAACCCCAATAAATGCGGTAAACTCTTTTACTGTAGTATCTACCCACGTTTTGACATCCTCTTCTGTGCTATTTTATGTCTAGCATAGTTGGTCGTCTGTTCCACTATTTTTATTAGCTCATCA